ACATTATATATATTTATTTAATAATAATAATTAAAAATTATTTTAAATAATATATAGTACGAAACTATTCCCAGCATATCATTATCCACAATAAGAGTAATGATGACTTCGACCTACATTAATAATTTTATGAATTAATAAATAATGTGAACTTACAAAACTACCCTCCAGAAAAGAGAACGATTCTGCTCGGCTTGCAATTTACTTTCTTATTTTATTTAGGTTAAATCCTCAATTTAATCCCTAAATTATTGTACAAAGTCCTAATTTGATCCCTACTATTTATCAATTTATTTCAAGTTGGTCTTTCTATACCAAAAAAAAAAAAAAAACTAACATGTCTTATTATTAATGTGATATGTGTCTGTTAAATAACTATTTTTTATCGTTAAAAAACAGACACGTAAATTGTTTTTTAAACAAAAAAACCAACGTGAAGCTAAATCAATAAACAATAAAGACCAAATTAAGAATTCGTAAAATAATTCAATGATCAAATTTGAGACTTTTTTAGTTGAAAAACCAAATCAAAGACCCATACAATAGTTTAAGGACCAAATTAGAGATTTAACTTTTTATTTATTGAATTTATTTATTAAAAATTGTGTCCATGTGTATTTAAGGAGTCACATATTCTATGTCGAAATTATATTATATTGTAAAATAAAAATGATTAAGGCAAAAAATCACCTCAATATTAAGAATCCATTCTTTAACTAACTATTATTGTTATGCAATTCGTACTATAAAATAATTTTTTAATATTTAAAAATTCTCACATCTAGGTCCCCGTGAACAATGATCACCGATTTTTTTTTTCTAATTAAAAAGTGAAATAATTTTAAGATAATCTTTTTATATCATTTTTTTAATATAACTTGATGTATCATTTAAATAATTAATTTTTTTATTTATGTGAAACCCATGATATTGAATATATTTACTCATTTAATAACATATAAAAATTATATCAAAAAATAATATAAAAAAATTATTCTTATAGCATTAAACTTCAAAACCATTGTTCTCAATAAAGAAATTGCCACATCAAATAGTTTAAATTTCCAACTAATATTTACAAATTAAAAAAAATGAATTAGTTGACAGAAAGTTAGCCATGTCAGCACTTATAAGTAATCCCTTACTATTTTGTCAAAACTATCCAAGCACTTACATGACAAGACAAAGGTAATGTGATTATAATCACTTATTATTTTGTTAAAACTATCCAAAATTATTTAATTTAGCTGATATTTTATTTATTTATAAATTTTTCTTAAACATGTAATTTTGATATTTAAAAATATCAATTCATAAATTAATTTTAATCTATAAATAGTAAATATCATATAATTTATTAGTTATAAATTATTTTTAACACTTAAATTAAATTAAATTAAATTAAATAACCTTAACAAATAGAGTAACCATGACCATAACCCCAAAGAGTACTGCAAAATTCAAGTTCAATGACTATATTAGTAATTTTTGAAGTTCAAGGACCATTGTGGTCCAAAATTGAAAGTTTTGGGACCAAATTTTGTGATTTGACCAATTCAATTCATTTTATTTCACCTGTACTTTGTATTGATAGGTCACTCTTTAGTGTGGTTGATAGCAACAAACGATCCATGGACTACTGATGTTTGATCTTAGCCTTGGTTTAAATTGTCCCCCCAATTAGGAATATTGGCAGTTGCTTCATTCACCATTTTCACTAGTCTCACCTGCAGGCAATGACAGCAAAAGAACCATAGCAATGAGAGGTGGATAGTTCTACATACATATGCACCATGATTCAAACTTCAAACTAGAATGTCAAAATGGAGTCTAATACCATACTGACGAACTACTTAGCCTAAAAACAAGTTGATAGGAGAAAATTTGACAATAATTTTGGATAATACAAGTATCCGGAAAGCTTGACAATGATTGTTTAAGCCACAGCCAAGGATTGAAGAATTTTCACAGCATCTTGCTCTAGACAATGCCTTTTAAACAATAAAATACAGAATTATTTTCAGTATCATCTTACCCTAATTTATATTTTCAAATTCAACCCATAGCAAATTAAAATTCACTGATTACGTACCACAGTTTCAGGAACTCCAGGTGGTGGCAAGGAGAGGTTTCTAGGTGGGGGTCCGGTAAGATACGATCTCTTGTCAAAACGCCACTCTCCAATCTTCCCATATGTTAATTCCCCCTGTAGTAATGCTGACTTATAGTGAATAGCTTGAGAAAAATTTGTCTTGAGGATTGATACATAATGGGATTGTTAAAACAAATAAAAGCAAAATACAAGGGAGGAGGGAAATCATTCTTCAAGCATTAAACTTCTAACTGTAATGATCAAGTAGAGAAGCAAAGAAACTGAAAGATCCTTTTACCTTTAAAGAATAATCACATCCGTAAGTATAATGGATAATGAATTTCTTTCCAACTTCCAAATCCCATGGTGGCTGATAACAGTCAAGGATGCAAGTTAAAGTATATATTGGTGGATAAAGTTAATTCAGTAATAGCAAAAGAACTTGTCATATGTCACAGATACCTGCACCATGAAATCATTGTATAGTATATGCCGTACTCCATGCAATGCTGATGCAACTGCATATGCATACCTTAAACAGGCAAGTCATAGATGTCAAAAACGTTTTCAACCAGATCACATACTAAGACATCAACCAAATAAGTAGTTCACATAATGCCTTTGCAAATGTTTCTTACATTTCTAGAACCCATCCAAAGGCCTTATCAGTTGCTGGATCATCTTTCATTCTTAAAGAAATATTCATCCATGTAGGTGAAATTTCCTCCAGTAGGGACTGAAATAGATAAAAGCATAAAGGAAATGGTAAATTAGTCTTAGTGGCTCGTGCAAGCAAAGTTCACAGCACAAGAACAGCCATGTTGATGAGGCCAACAAGGAGAAGTGAAAAAACCACACGTGACTACTGGCCCCTTGTAGGACTGTTTTCTAAAAATTATGCTTTCAACGTCCAGAAATCAAGAGAGAAGCATAAGACCCCAAGAACAGCACTGAATCCTTCACAAATAGATCAATTCACCAACACAGGTTACCACGATTACAAATTTCTACCTTTTTAATGATCACAGGAGAATTGCCGATTGGATCAACATCTGATACAGGACCGTTCTCCTCAGGATAAAACTTTCTAATGATATCCTTGTGCTCAGCTGGTTTAATGTAGAAAAAAGGGTACCCAGCTGGGTGGTCTCCATGTGCCAAGTTTGGCAAAGGATTCACAAATATGTGGTCTGGCTCTGCCATTAGAATGTATCTGCATCAGTCATAAAATGCAAGACTTTCAGATTATGTGAAGAAGAGTGAAAAACAATAATTATTACAGGCAAAGGATTCACAGATATGTGGTTTGGCCCTGCCAATAGAATGTATCTGCTTCAGTCATAAGATGCATTACTTTCAGATTAGGACTCACTCTTCCTCAATTGTTGCTGATTCCAACCATTGAACAAAAGCCCATGGTCTATTTAAGACAACATAACCCTAAAGCACAGAATGAAGACAAAAAGTAAATAATAAATTAGGCAGAACACATACATAACTGAACCTTTTACAATTTTTTTCTTTCCATTAATTGTTATGAAGAATTTATATCACCAAATGTGATTGAACTTATCTCATGCTTAAAGAGGCAGTAAAGGCCTTACCCCAGTTGAATAATTATTCAATGAATAAAACTAAAAGGGAAAGGAGTGAAGGGAAGATCAAGGAACTGAAAAATTAAACATAAGAGACTCACCCGATCAAGACCCTCTGGAAGAGGATTAACAACAAAGGTTGGAATCTCCTCCATCAAATTGTCTGGCTTCCCTGAATGCAGAATACGAGTAAACTTTCCCATATCGGATCCAGGCATATCCTTTACTCTCTTATACCAATAGTACATAATCCGACACTGCCATTGACTATATCGAGTATCTGTTGCTGTAAGGGCAACATGAAACTTGGAATGGGAACTCCCGGCTTTTCTCATCCCCAAAGGCAGATCAGTAACACCAGATAATTCCATTCCATCCCACAACCATTTCTCAGAACCATATGCCTTATTGTGCGTTATCATGGACAACAAATTGTATGCTGCAAAGAAAAATCCTAAAGCTAGAAATACTAATAGAAGAGGCGAAACACGCCCAAAGCTTTTCTTCTCAATCATCTTCCACGTCCTAATATAAGAGATGGGTCCTGCTTTCTCTTCAAGGCCAGGTTAACTGATCAGCCTATCCTATCTACGGTTCCTTCTGGATAAACAGGAAAAAACCCACGAAACCGTTTCGATTCACAGCTACAAAACAAAAATTGCAGAAAGGAAAGGAAACCCTTTTACGGTAATATCCCAATAAAGCATAGATCTTCATTAATATTTAACCCAAATTCTGCATTACAACCCCAAGGAAAACAAAACAAAAACAGCAAAATCAAGTCAACCATATTCATACAGACCATCTGGCTGTTCCAACAAGCAACAAACCGAACGATGACAGCAAATTACAGATTGAATCTAAACACAAAATAGAAAGTTTGGACATCAATCATAATTCATTCATAACTACAAGAAACTCTTACATCCACATGCAGATGCAGATCTGATGTTCGACTTGGACGAGAAACCAAGAACTCCAACGCCATAGAAGAAACAAAGCAGGAAAATGTGGAAAGACAGATCATACAAAAGTAGAAAGAAGTGAAATGCGGTACCTGAAAAAATCTGCCGAAAGGTGCAGACTTTTCTGGATTGAGATTTTGGGTTTATTCCAGTATTGGAATTTCAACGTTTGATCGAATTGAAGACGCCGTTATGTGCTTGAATTTTTTTTAACAGTAATTTTTAATTTAATTTTTAAATAAAGGCCAAGACTTTGGTGGAGAAATGAGGTTGGCTTTCTTCATTTTCTTTTTGTAATCCACCAACATGAAAATTCTATTTTACTGATCTTATTTTGGTGTATGCAGCAACGAAAGGATCTTGCGCATGTTTTTCTTTGTCTCATCCTCCCAATTAATCCTCAGTTGGATTTACCAGTTCAAAAAAAATCCTTAGTGGTATTTAGAGTAGGGATTTAGAGTAGTTGAAGAAAAAAAAAAAAGGTTAAAACCACATTTTGGTACCTGAACTATTATATGGTTTCTCGATTTGGTCCTTATTATTTACCATTTTAACTCTAATTTGATCTTTCTATTAAAAATCTCATGACGTGGGTTGTTACTTCACGCTTACAAGATAACATGTCAAATATTAATATACGTGGAAGATAATATGACAAAAAAATGATAACATGAAAAAAAATAATAATATAAAAAAATAATAATATGAAAAATAAAACTTAAAAAATTATTTTTTTATCTAAAATTAAAGGTAAACAAATATAAAAATGTTATCATACATTTAACATATAAGAACTAGCTAAATTGACTATATTTACATTATATTTTAATTGTTAAACGGAATATGTGTTAAAAAGTATCTCGACCCAGAAGT